ACACGTAGATGGGAGTAAAGTCCCATTAGCTATCAACTCAACCATGTTATACTAATTGTTGTAAATTTAATTTCGATTCATAGTGATTATACTAGAACTACAGCAAGATGCCTACTATTAAAAAAAAGAGATCAAAGATGAACCAGCCCTTGAAATTTTTTTTCAATGCAATGGTGACATTGCTTCAAAAAAAGAATACCCTGGATAGGGTAAATACACCTATCTTATACTTCCTTTTCTAAAAATAATTTTATTAAAGATGATAAGCATATAAAAACTAGTAGAAACTCCAAAAAAATTAATAGTGAAAAACATATAGAATAAAAAAATATAGCAATGAAAAGAAAATATATAAGTACTTCTTTTGTCACAGCAAAAGAATTTTAACGTATGACTTTCTCTTACAACACAACCAAAAATCTCTTCATCCTATATCTCATTTTTACCTATAAACCGATTCTTATAACCTCATCATTCAGTCCTAATCAGCAAAAGTCCACTAAAGGAAGCCAGAAATAACAATATAACTGCTTTAATCTTGATCAAATAAATCTACTTTATATTCCTTCTTTTACTTTTTACAATTTTATCTGTAATCTCTTCAAATAATATTCCGGAGCTTGTTTCCATTTTTTTCTTTGTCCCTTCTCACTAAATCCTTCACACCTTTAACAGATCTCTTTTGTAAAGCTACTATAAAAAGTTTTATGGTTTGCAACTTGTACATTCCTTTCAGTTATTAAGACATCAGCTGGTTTCCTTTGTAAAACCAGGGTAACATCTTTTTCCATGTTAGTCTTGCAGCCTGGCATGTTCAAATCCACTTTCAGATCAGTCTCAGCCCTGTCCTGCAAAACTTGTTCCTATTCCACAACATCTCTTAAAGCCATCTTTCTATAATGGCAAATAATTCTAAGATGAACTCCTGGAACTGCTGTTGCAAATAATTTCACATATGTTCAGTGTTATTTTGCTCCATTCTGTGTAAATAAGTCAAATTTAAATATTCTCCTCCTTTAATTATAATCTTTAATTGCCTCTAACGTCCAATGTCCAAATTCTAATTCTATCATGTTTTCTTTAAAGAATGTAAAATGGCATTTTCCCACAGGAAAGGATTCCACAATCAATTTCAAAATCTTTATTTCAAATATATATGGACCCTTGTCTATTTAAAACTTTCAAAAATCAATATTCCAATCTCTTATGCAGCTTATTCCAAAAACATTTTCTAATGTCATACTTCTTTTTAGAATATTTTTTTTTGCTAACGATTAAAGAGAACTCACCCAATGCATGTAATCAGGCCTGTCAATTGAAAGATTAATAGTTGAAAAGCAGATAAAAATCAATTTCCAAAGTGATTTTAAGACTTAGATTTGGCAGAACTTAGTGTCCATAAGGCTACATTGTGCTTGTGAGCGTGGTGGAGTCCCTAGATTATTTCCTTCATGAGCCAACTGCTTCCACAGTTGACTCACAAGGAGCAGCTATCTGGAATACAAATGGATGATCTCATGATCTCTCCTTTATCTGGAGAGGTTTTGCTGTCCAGAAAATGCTGTCTAGCTGATCTCATTGCAATGCCATCTCCGTTTCCTCAGAGATGTCTAGTTCACAATGAATCCTTACCATAAGTCCATTACCTTCGCATACACTGAAAATTTTGTATAGATGACTAATAAATTAGCACATGCAAGTAATACTTAGGCTAATGTATAACATTTAAAAAAATAATAATTATATAGGTTAATAGTCCCTTCTAGAACAATTTTTTCATTAATGACACATAAACAGTCTACAAAGAGTGCTAAATATATCTAACAGCATACAAAAATGCAGGAAGAATGTATATGTCTATTTTTTGGTAATCAAAATAGGGTATTTTCTTTCCTAGAGTACGTTATAAAGAGTAAAAAATGCACTTTATAAAAATTACATGATCTCACGAATTATTGTTCTGATCACAACTAATGAGAAAAACAAAACAAAACCCCAGTGAATAATGCAGAGATATAGCAAACACCTAAGATTAGACTGAACAGCCTTCCTCAACCAGGTCCTCTTTAAAAATGATGGGACTACAAATGTTCAGACCACTCAGCTAGCTGCAAATTCAGGATCTTGTACTCATCTAGAGAGCATCAGACTGAGGAAGCTGTACACCCAGCACATTTCTTATTTTGTCATTTTTGTCTGACCCTTCTGGGAAACTTTCGGATTATTGTATTAGGGAGCTATCAAGTGTTAAATCCTATCAGCAAATGTAATTAGCATATATAGAAGACAAAATACAAATAATCACAACCATTACTCAGCTCTAAGCAAACAGTGAAAACAATTTAATCTAAGGCTGCCTCCTACAATGTATGAAGTGAATTACCAAGCCTCATGGGGAAAGAAAGCCTTTACCCCCTAGGTATGATAAACCGTATTATACCAAAACCAGTTTGCTTCAATATCAAAGCAATATATGCTGTCAAGAAAATTAATGCTAGCTGCATTTCAAATGAAATACTCTAGAGCCAATTTGTGAAAAGGACTTTTGAATTATTGCTAATGATATTCCAGGAGATGTTGAATCACTAAATGCCATTTAGAGGTGTATTATATTTTTCATTTATCTATAATGAACCTTCTCTGAGCAGGTTATATAAGGAGGTTTAATCCTGCTATGAAAGCCAAACCACATATTATACTGTTGTAAATGTAATCAGTTCACAATGAACAAGCTATTAAAACTGATGAGATGGATCTCAAGTTATTTGAAGCATTTTTCTTCAGTGGTAGTTTATACTTTTCTGATGCATTATTAAATTGTATTGCTCTTTTTATGGATGATCTAAGAGAGCATTTCTTAAACTTTTTTCTCTCAGGACTTCTTCCCACTTTTAAAAAAATACTGAAGACGCTCCCCCCCCCCCCAAGAGCTTTGGTTTATATTGGTTATATTTGATATTTACTATATTAACAATTAAAATAGATATATTTGCTTTCACTGCCGTTTATGAATGCTTGAGGGGATTTTAATATTTTTCCCCATTAGCTGGCAAATAATTTTGATTTCACAGACACAAGATGGTCTTGGGGGGGAAAGACAATCAACATCAAGGAATATTTACTTTTACTCTGAGGTCCAGATTTATGCTCTCATTTACTGTATTTTGTGTTATAATACTGTTACCAGGATGTGCAAATACCTGGGGAAAAAAACTTGCCCCAAATTGTTTTAACATTTGTTCTAAAACGCAGGAAGGATGTGGTTGAATTTTGAATCACATCTTGTCTAAATGTTTTCTAAGCATTAGGAAGTGAGATGGAGCTGGGAGTTAAAGCCAAAGATAAAGCAAATAACATTCTGCCTCTTTAGAAAGTAACAGCCAAGAGGAAATGATTGTATTTTTCCCGGCAGATCTGCCCATTTTTATTAAAAAAAAAATGTGCTGCTTCATAACAAATCGTAGCTCTGCTATGCCTAGAAAAGACACCATTCAGGATTTTAAAGTAAATCACCATCATTAATTATCTAGTGGTCTTAACATATATATATCCTGGTTGTATAGTTTTTAACTGTTAATTGTTTCAATTTGTTTTACATTGTTATTTGTATATGTCTTTTGGTGTTGTTCAGTTGTATGTTGTGAAAGAGCACCTTATTTCGTTGTTCTCAGGTTCTGAGTACAATGACAATAAATTTATCTTATCTTATTATCACAGGCACAGGGCTACAACAGATCTTAATTTTAATTCTAATGTGTTTTTTTGGGGGGGGGAGGGAGAAGAAACCACAACAAAGCCCAGAAATCATAGATGTAGCGCTAACCTCAATGAAAGAAGTGGAAAAATGAAGAGCACCCATTCTGAGACTATGGCACTGCAAACCCACTGCACTTTGGGGGAAAAACACCTTGAAGAAGCAAAGGTCTCAGCTGGCCACAGCTTGGCAACTTCCTTCTCCTCCCAGAAACCCAGCTGCTCCCAACTTAACTTTCTGGTAATTATCAGCACAAACAGTCTTTCAGTCACCTGCCACCTCTAAACAGTACCAAAAAAACAAAAAAAAAGTTTGTATTGAAGCTAAGGGATTACAGGTAGTCCTCGACTTACAACCACAATCGAGCCCAACGTTTCTGTTGCCGAGACAGTTGTTAAGTGAGTTTGGCCTCATTTTACAACCTTTCTTGCCACAGCTGCCAAGTGAACGACAGCAAATTGTTAATTAGTAACACGGTTGTTAAGTGACTCTGGAATTTCCTCATTGACTTTGCTCGTCAGGAGGTTGCAGAAGGGAATCACCCCCCCACACACACACACACTGCAACAGTCATAAATACGAGTCAGTTGCCAAGCATCCAAATGTGGCTCATGTGCAATCCCGGCAATATGATGCCACAGTCATCCGGGTTGAAAAAAAAACGGTCCAAAGTCCATTTTTTGTCCCCCCCACCGGTGCCATTGCAAGTTCGAATGGTCGCTAAACGAAGTGTTGTAAGTTGAGGACTACTACACCTTGTACATGGCAGCCGCAACAGAAAGAGGAGATTGCAAATATCCCGGCCAAAAGAGCACCAAACCTTCCCGACACGAGGGGGCTTTTTTGAGGGGGTCGGGGGAAGCCAAGGCAGCTCTTCTTTGCTGAGCCGGGCCACGTGGGTCGGGGAGAAATAAATAAATTAATCGAACAAAAATTTAAAGAGAGAGAAGTGAAGTCCGCTACGGGCTTCTCAACTCGTCTTCGGGGCGTGTTTTTTTTTTTTTTTTGACACTTGCGGGGACGAGCAGCTGCTGAGGAGGAAAGCGCGGGAGTCCAAAACTGCCCCGGGGGAAACGAAACCCTCGTGGGGTTCCCTCAGAGAGCCGAGGCGTCCTCTACATAGACGGGGTGGGGCGGGAGAAAGTTGAAGAAGAGCGAAGGGACCTTTTTAACCAAAACAACCCACAACCAGCGGACCCCTCTGGGCTCCTGGAAGGCCGCCTCAGAATCTCCGGCTCCACCTTACCAGCTGTTGCCGGATCCAGCGCAACATCCCCTCGTCCGGCGGGCGGGTCGGTGGCTCCCAGCCTGCGGTGGCGGGCAACTTTCCTTTACCTCACGGATCCGAGAAGAAAGACGGCCCCGTCAGAAAGACCGGCGCTGCTCCTGCTGTTGCTGAGGAGGAGGAAGAGGAGGAGGAGGCCGCCGCCCTCTTTCGCAACCGCCGCTCCCCATCCGCGCGGGACACCGAGGTGCTTCCTTTTTTAGCGGCGAAGCGGAAGCCCGTCCGCTAGCGGCAACCGCAGCGGCCGCCGCCACAAGAAACCTCGGAGCGGACGACAGGCTCCCGCCATCATGCAAGCCCAGCCGAGCGCCTCGCCTCAGACCCCGGCCTGTCACCGAGAGCCGGCCCCCTTTTCCCCTCCCTCCTTCCCTCCCCCCGCCCCCTTTCCTCACCCCCCCCCGCCCCCCCCCCCGGGGCCCCGGAGCCCCAGGAGGGGACGGAAGGGCGGGGGGAAGATAACGGGAGAGGGGGGGGAGGGGAAATAGAGGGGGGAGCTACAACCCGCCAATGGGAAGCGTCCCGCGCATGGGGTGGGAGGAGCCGGCGAGGGGTGGGCGAGAGATGTGAGAAAAGAGGGAGGGGGGGGGAGAGAAGGGGAGTGGCACGTGGCAAAGCCGGAGAGTCTTTGTGAGGAGCCCGTAAGGCTTCGCGGTTTGTTTGTTTTTCCCTTTGCGAAGCGGGGGGCGGCGGGATGTTGGGGGAGCGGAAGTGGGAGAATCTTTTGGGGGTGGAGCTTCACTTTAGGCGGCCCCGTCTGAGGGGAGAGGATTGCTCGGTTTCCGCGCTTCTCTTTTCCCGCTGGTTATTGAA